TTTAACATGTTTGCAGGTCATCCAATCAGATGTTATTAAAGGAGCTGCAGGCGCTGACTGAAATATTTCATAGTGCACCTGGAAATACATATAGGCATTAAAATGTATAAAGAAATAATTAGGATTTTGAGATAAATTTTCAATTAAATGTTTATAATAATAGCCATATTTAATTATTAAATAGTTTTAATAAGTTAATATGATCCCATCCGTGTAGATTTGTTTTTTTTTACTTAATTTACTGTATACTTATGTAGGTTATGATATTTAATCATTTATATTCTGCAGTAATTTTATTATATTCTGGCATTTAAAGCTCTCAATAGATCTTAAATCTGAGCAATTAAAGAAGGAAATTTGTAAGTGTTCGTGACTGATATGAACCGTTTTTGAGTCACTTTGTAAGGCGCTCTGCATGATGGCGTCTAATTTTAATTTCTCATCTAGGATTCCCACTTTGTTAACAGATAATATTCTTGCTATGCTGTTAAACTAATGTGTTTCAGTGTTCTGGCTCACACCATAACTTAGCATTTACGTGAATGATCCCTTCGGGAAATACTACAACATTACTGTGGCCAAAGTTCAGCTTTTTTACGTTTATTGCACCTTGTCCTTACTGTCTGCCTCCAAATTACTTCAAATACATACTAAATGCCAACGGTAATTACATTCAAACACTAATAAGCACCGGTTTTGGTTGATACAGACATTTGCATCAGTGCACTGATCTAACAGGAAGCTTCTGCAGAAGAAGATCCTTGGGAGACTCAGCAGTTTTGCTCAACACGTCCCGAGAGACTCTCTCTGCGCGCTCTGATTTAGAAAACGGGTTTCCTGTGAGGCACAACCGTGGTTTTTCTGTGCAGAGGGACATCAGGAAATTAGCAAGACAAAGAAACCTGCGGCGAAATGTGTTGGAAATAATTAATTCTGGATAGGGCAGATGCTCTTTTTTAATATGCTCTCTTATCATCAAGCAGATATACTTAGATCAAGGGTTGCTTCATGAGGAAATGTGCAACAGGACCGAAAGTCTGCCTCAAATATAAGTTGGAAGAAAAGTCTGGTAAAACATAATGGAAAAAACTCCCAGCTGGCCTGCACTGGGTCTTGTTTGGGTTGGTTATTGGGACCGTTTCAGGCCTGTTAAGGTGTAGCTTGCAACCTGGGGGAGTCTGTGGGTCTCAGCAGCAATTACACGTTGATGGGCTGCTGAAATTTTTCATGAATGTAGTATGGGGCTACAAACTCAGAAATAAATCAGTTTTGAGGGACAGTTTGCATTTAGTATGCGTGACATCGGCAACAATTCATCTCAGGAAAATTCCATTTATTAGAAAGAGCTCGATATGGATCTACAGTCAGGTGCTGAAAAGTAGTTTTTACCTCCGGCATGGAGCAATAAATGTTTTCCTTCAGGAGAGAATCAGATAATTATCTTCAAAGTAATTAGCATACATAACATGATGATCCCGCAGGACATTTGCATTTCTATAGTCTTTTCACACACAGCTAGAAGACTCATTTGATTCTGTTTTTGTTGCTTCTTTGCATCGAGGAAACAGAAAATTATATTTGCACATTCATGCCTTTGATGAGACGAGTTGTAGACTAACTTTATGTGAGAACTTGGTGGATATCTCACCTTTGCAACACAAGGGAAAATCTGTGAACAATGTAGTTCATTATCTGTTCAGATACACACTTATTGTCTTATACAGTCAAGAAATATGTTTCCCTGTGCAGTTAAGCTCTTTCTTTGTGGTGCACTCTAAGTATGGAAGGTTAAGCAGCTTCTTAGCCTTGTGTTGGTGTCCCGGTGAGATCCTTGTGGATTAGGACGCCAGGGACAAATGTGAACCAAAAAAACAGTGTTGGAGTTTGACTCAGCTGGTCCTCAATAAAACGTTAACACCCATCTACTAGATATTTTGTTAAGAGCAAAAAATTAATTCTTACTTGAATATTCACAAATAAATTAAGATCTCATCCCTTGTTGTGCTGGCAGGAATTTTGTCTTTTTTGCATGGTAAGAAAAAACATCCCCTCCATGCCAGGACTCATATCATTTAATAAATATAAAGTCACCATCCGGTCTCTGTACAATATGAGCAGGACTTTGGTCTACATTGCCAGCGTTAATTCGGACCTGTTCCCAGTGAATGATGGAAACCGACAGGGCTCTGTCACCGTTCCTGTTCAGAACCATTATGGACATGATTTTTCAGTCACAGTCAAGGGCAATAGGGAGGTTGGTTAGATGATGTCATTCCTGCTTTTTACATGATGGGGTTCTACTGGTACCCTCCTTCCATGACCTGCAACATGTCCTGCGGTGGCTCGCAGCTGTTTGCAGAGAGTGAAGCGTCCGAAATGAGAATCAGGTCCTCTGAGTCCGAATCCACAGTTCTCAACTGGAAAAATGTGGCTTGTCTTCTTCAGGTTGGGGAGAGTTTCTGCCTCAAGTGGAAGAATTAAAGTATCTTTGGGTCCTGTTCACAGGTGAGGGAGGAATGGAGCGAGGGATCGATAGACTGATCGGTATGGCTGTTGCTATAATGTGGACACTGCACTGGTCTGTTGTGATGAAGAGAGAGCTGAGCGAAAAGGCAAAGCTCTTGCTTCACAGATCAGTCTATGTTCCCATCCTCACCGTTGTTTATGAAATCTGGATAATTTCTGATAGAATGAAATCCCGGAAATCCTGAAATTAGCTTTCTCTGCAGGGTGGCAGCGCAGTCCCTCAGAGATAGGGTGAAGAGTACGGTCATTTGGGAGAGGTTCGGAGTAGAGCGCTTCTCCTTCACATGGATAGGGGTCTGTTAGGGTCTCTGGAGTTTTGCCTTTTTTCCTAGTGTGAGTGCTGGTTGCTTTGCTGACACGTGTTGCTGCACACCTGAGAACATTTCTCACTGAAGTTGACTAACGTCTATAAGGAGGCGAAGGATCATCCCTCTTCGCCGGATGATTACCCCTGATGGTATTCCACTAAAAGATCTAAACCAGGAATACCTTTCTTGTTGAAATTTGTCTTTTTGGGAATCCCTTTTCTTATGTTGACTCTGTTATTGTTCCAGACAACCAGTGGACCTCGGTTAATCACCATTATTAATGGAAAAGGTCTTACCTTTGTGCAGCAGTTGTCAGTCTTCAACACCTGCCTGCTTGCTCTCCTGCACAACGTCTCTTGTAGGTACCAAGGCTCTTGGATCTCACTCACATCCTGAACCTCTGGGGTACGGTCTACAATCCCCACTGAATCAAACCCCACAGACCCATGCTACTACCCCTTCATCTCTCAAGAGAGCAAATCAATCAGTCATCAGTTGTCATCAATCAACTCCTTCCTGATCAGTCTGCTTTCTCCCCTTAGACCAACCAGATAGCTCAACTGACTTCCTGCAGTTCTCCGCTTCCAGATTCTTGTTGCTATTGTAATCATAAAAATTCACTTGTTCTCAGTGTGATTCTGCATGAGGTTCAAAAGTCTAAAAAAACAACATGACAGCGTCATCTGAGGTGGTTTAAACATCGGCTGCCACCTAAATGTCCATGTTGGCCTGGGATTGTCTCGAGCTTTTCTTAGCAGGGAGGGAAGTCTGGGCGTCTCTGTTGAGGCTAGTGCCCCTGTGACCGGGTGTAGGATGAAGTGGAAGATGACTAATGTAAGTAAGAGTTCCTTTAAAAACTATTTTTATATTATTTTCCTTTGTATATTATATTTATACATTTATTGAATATATTACAAGTGGAATTCAGTTCATTTATATTTTTAGCACACAATGCAAGCTCACTGGTTGTGAATAAGCCAGCCTCAACACACATAAACACTGAGAACATGTTGGTGTGTGTGTATGTTTGTGCTGGGGATACATGTTAAGGCCAAATGATTTTGCCAGAAATTAAAATTGTGAATTTTTAACGAATATTGCTATTGGATTTTATTTTTGATATTACACTAAGTACAGGCAGGTAGATGTTTCAACCTAGGATTACAGTTTTTGAAAGCTTTCTTGTCCATAGTCTAATGTTGAAGAAATTTACTGTCATCTTTTTGTGAAAAAAGTTCTTAGTTCTAATTGTATGCATTGATCTGCATGCTATCTGCAACTCTTTATACATTTCTGTGTGACGACAAAGCCACTTCAAAAGTTTTACCACCACCTAAAGGACTTAAGTGAGAAATTGAATAACTCTTGTTAAATATAGCGTGATTAACTTCGAGTACCTGTACGATTTGTGTTTTGTTAAATTGCAACAAATTAATTGCCCAGCCCTAGTACAGACATGTATATAAATGCAACAGAACCAGAGAGGGATAAAATACCTTTAATTTGGAATATGATCATGCTTTTGTCCCAATCCAAAGAAGACAGTAAAGACAAAAAGAAGTTGAATGAAATACCATAAAACTTATAAAGTGCTGCTCCATAAACTAACCTGTGCATTTTTAAGATAAATACGAGTTCAATCTTAGCTGATAGTCATAAAGTTATATATGTTTTGACATTGGTACTCACAAAAGGTACATTCTAACACTGATTGGCCCATTTCTGGGAAAAGGTTTGCAGATAACACTACAGTGGGGGAACAGTTTATTAGTTTATGGTCTGATCTGTACAGAGAAAAATAAAATCTGTTAATCAGTGAATTTTATAGAAACTCAAAGATTTAACTCTGGACTCTGAAATGTAATGCTCATCACTTGGACCTGATCTAAACCAGGAAGAAGGTTATGATTGTTTTTCCTTGCAGAGAGACTCCCAGGTGATCAGAGTCTTCTTTAGACCAAACTAGCAGCTTCCTCAGAGTGGGTCTAGTAACGGGTAAGAAAACTGGAAACCTCCAACACTGCTGCTTCAAGCTGCCAAAACTCCACACACTGAAGGTAAGTTGGACTGAGAACACCACAGTCACATTGAAGGAAGAAAATATGGGAGGGAGGGAACCCAAAACTAACTCGACCGTCTCTGTTTGTGGCTTCACTTAGAGACAAAATGGCTTCTAGACCAGAGGCAGAACTCTTCTGTTCAGTCTGTAATGAAGTCTTTAAGGATCCGGTTGTTCTGTCATGTGGCCACAGCTTCTGTAAGGAGTGTCTGAAGAAATGGTGGAGAGAGAAACCAGTACAAGAGTGTCCATTTTGTAAAAGAAGATCTTCAAAATCTAATCCACCTATAAGTTTGAGCCTGAAGAACCTGTGTGAGAAATTCTTACAACAAAAAGAGAGATCTTCAGAGCATCTCTGTAGTCTGAATCCTGAGAACCTCAAACTTTTCCACCTGCCAGACTGTCTCGCCTGCAGAGATTCAGAAAACCAAACACAGCGCAGATTTGGCACCATCAATGAGGCTGCTCAGCAACATAAGAAAATTCTTCAGAAAACCCTGGAACCTTTGAAGAATAATCTGCAGCGCATGAAAACAGACCAAGAAGAGTTTGATAAGACAGCAGAACAAATAAAGGTCCAGGCGCAACAAACAGAGAATCAGATTAAGGAGCAGTTTAAGAAGCTTCATCATTTTCTAGAAGAGGAAGAGAAGAACAGGTTGGCTGCACTGAGGGAGGAAGAGCAGCAGAAGAGTGAAATGATGAAGAAGAAGTTGGAGGATCTGAGTAAAGAGATAGCAGCTCTTTCTGACACAGTCAGAGCCACAGAGGAGGAGCTGAAGGCTGAAGACATGTCATTCCTGCACAACTACAAGGCTGCAATGGAAAGAGTCCAGCGCCGCTGCCTGCCACAGGATCCACAGCCGCCCTCAGGAGCTCTGATAGACCGGGCCAAACATCAGGGGAACCTGGCCTACAAGATCTCAAGCAAAATGAGAGACAAGTGGTCCAACACTCTTGTACTTGATCCAAACACAGCGGGTTCAGAACTAATCCTGTCTGAAGATCTAACCAGTGTGACTTCAAGAGAGAATCAGCTGCTTCCTGATGATCCAGAGATGTTTAGATCAAAGTTTTCTGTCCTGAGCTCTGAAGGCTTTAACTCTGGAAACCACAGCTGGGTCGTTGATGTTAGAGATAGTAAGGGTTGGATGGTTGGTGTGTCAACAGAGTTTGCCCAGAAGAAGGAAAACATATATTCCAAATGGCTGGTGATACAGTTCCATGGAGGTAAATACTCAGCATGGTCTCCACCAGTTTATCCCACAGCTCTTTCAGTACGGAGTAACCTCAAATGGATCAGAGTGAATCTGGACTGGGACAAAGGAGAGCTGCAGTTTTTTGATCTGTGCAGTAACACAAACATACATATTTTCAGGCAAACCTTTTCTGAGAAGATGTTTCCATGCTTCACCACTCAAGACAACATAAAGATGTTACCTGCAGATTTTAATCCCACCTCAACAAGGCCTCGTTATATACCCCCTCCCAAAAATCTGCCTCCTGCAGGTTTGAAGTGCGTTTACCGAAGTTAATTGCTTGATCTAATGTCACTTTGGAATGATATTGATCAATTCTACAATTGATTTGGCAATAATCTTTTTTACATAAATTGAGGTGTACTTTTACTCTGTTAGGCTTTGACTTAAAGGGGAAAATATAAAACAATATAACAGAAGGGTAAAAAATTATTTCTGCCCCAGAAAATCATTCCAATACAGAAGTCGAGAGCGGTCGTGTACCTCAGATACTTTTTCACAGTGGTTTTCTCGAGAAAACAAGTGAATTTTCTCATTATTTAAAGATAACCAAAGCCGTTTTCTGGAGATAAGGAGGTGATAGTTTTCTCATTAAAAACCTGTTTTCTTTTGATATAGAGATGATTGGTGTGTGTTAAAACTGATTGCATTATTCAACAACACAACAGCAGGAGAGAATTTATAAGTGTGTAATTCTGTAAATAGTCCTGTGTTTATCTTTTTAGGTAACGAGACGATGTTGATGGTTTGATGATTTGCTTCCACTTCTGATTCATTAGCAAATAAACCTATGCCTCCACTGGCTTAGCGCCGGATGTTTTCTGAACATCCCCGGTGTTACGCCTGTAACAGGTATAAGATGCATTAACCCCCAAAATGAGTCCAGATGAAAGATTTTAATTGAAAAACAGTCATATTTGTTTCTACTGCATTCCATGCAATCCAATCATCAACCACGACCTGACAAGGGGTGAAAAGAAATAGGCAAAAAAAATATATATATTATTTGTGCACACATGGTACCACCACTGCATAATCTCGTTAACTCTAGAAATATAAATGTTTTCTGGTGATAACGAGATAATTATCTCATTATCACCAGAAAACAATTATTTTTCAAGCCGTGATAACAAGATAGTGATGTCGTTATCTCGTGAAGACAAAGGTAAAAAAAAGTTGGGTATGACCGCTCTCGGCTTCCGTACTCCAAAGCTCATTGCATAACTTTTTTATTTCAAAAACCACAACACGAGAAAGAGATATAGACCTTGTTCTGCTCCAAGTGTGAAGTCTTCTGTGTTTCCAGTTGGATCTGGTGCTTCTAAGAATGTACAAAGATATGTTTGGCAGCTGGTGCTCAAGCCAAAAAATACATTTAGAACCTTTTAATTAAATTAAACACATGTATTTATGTTTTGATGATCTCTCTTTTTGGCATTATGCTCCAAAAATTGTATATGAATTACATGAAACTGTTGCTGTTAATTTCATTTACTGGATTTACTGGATCCTTGTTAAACTGAGAAAACGTTATACACAGTTTTAAGGTTCTGACAGGGGAAACATTACGCTAATAATATACCATTACCAATATTGCCATTGCGAATTAAGAACTACATTTCATATCAGAAGTATAGATGCTTACATCTAAAGAACCCCTAACTATGAATTTTTGTACATAGAACAGAGTTTTGGGGCAGGATACTGCAAATATAAAATTTATGCTTTTTTTTTTCTTCTATTTTTACACTTTTATTGTGAGACATTCTTCTGAAAGATGAATAAAATTATGAATGAAAACATTCTTGTGAAACGGTTTACATTAGAGTGAAACTTAAAGTCTCTCCCTCTTGCACATTCTGACTTGCCATTGAACTTAACATCAATGAAGTGCTGGAGAAGATTTGTCATTACAGAGATTTATTAGTAAAAACATGGAGACTGTAGCCTACATAATGTACTTCTACATGGATAATCTGAAATTCTTACTTTTTTCTTTTAAATGTCCCTCTCCCCCACCCATTTCGTAAAGAAACTTCTGGCCAGAAACCACAGAAAGTTTTCCACTCAGCTAGAGTGTTGTGCATTGTGGTTAATTTTTCACCAAGCATCACTGTGGATTACTCATAATCTCAGATGTGAGAATAGCTGTCCTGTTTGTCACGTAGTCGTGCAATTAAATTCACCTGCTGACCTGCCTTTGTATTCTCTCGTCTACAAACAATTACTCATCATTTTGCTTTCACACTTTATTGGTGAATATTTAAAACTCTTTAAAAATCTTTGATCAAAAGCCCCTGTCATTCCATCAGTGTAATATTTTAGAAAAACATAATATGCTCAATTTTAAAAATTTTATTCATTTTAAAAATTGTTGTTTGATTTACAAAGTTTTGAATAGATTAGCCCTATGTCTATGTGTTTTGACTGATATTGTATTATGTGATCTTGTGTTGTTTTGTCTTCCTGCCTCAGGACGACAGATGTAAATTAGCAACTATGCTATAATCTGGCTCATTTACAATCTGTACAGAAGTTTAAGATTGTTCATTAATGTGCTCTGTCCTGATTCAATAAATAAATAAATAAATAATATTCAAATAAAAATGTTTAAATCACCATTTTGCCTCTTCTCTCTGTCTGCATTTGGGTCCTGCTCCAAGCTCCAAACTCCTGAAGAAATCAGGCAATTCAAAATACTACTAAGTTCAGACAGTAAACAAAACTCCACAACTCAAATATAGTGTCAATGCTACTGGTAAAACTGGGAAACAGGAAACCACATGACCTTTGCAGCCACTTGCTTGACACTCACTTGGTACTGAGGACACTCCAGTAAGTTCCCTCCACAGTGAGGTCCACTCAGTTAGGGAAGTGCAAGTGAAGATTTTCTCCCTAAGTAATGGGACACCACTATTTAGCGTTAGGGTTGCAAAATCAAACTTCTGCCCAGTGTAATACATTAGCTGTATACTTCTGCGATGTCTTAACTTAGGCTGCTCAGTGGCGCGATGGGTATCACTGCTGCCTTGCAGCAAGAAGATTCTTGGTTTGATTCCCAGCCCAGGGTCTTTCTGCATGGAGTTTCCATATTCTCCCTGAGCATGCATGGGTTTTTTTTCCAGGTACTTCAGCTTCCTCCCACAGCCCAAAAACATGACTGTTAGGTTAATTGGCTTCTCTAAATTCTCCTTAGATGTGTGTGAATAGCTGTTTGTCCTGTTCGTCCCTGCGATGGACTGGCAACCTGTCTAGGATGTACCCCTCCTCTTGCCCGTAGACAGCTAGAGATGCACCCCTTGCAACCCACCTCGGGATTAAGCATGTCAGAAAATGGATAGATGTCTTCACCTACGTCATGCGTAAACACAGCCTGGGCCAACCAACAGAGAACAAATGTGCAAAACCGAAGACAGCTCTCCTGCTATTTTGCCATTGTTAATCTGTTATATGTGCACTTTGCATTTGCGTACTAGAATTTTGGGTGGCGGGCAGGGTCCAAAGCAATATGGGAGACTTATATTTTTTTAAGGAAATTTCAAAAAAGTAAATTCACAAATTTGGTCTGGGTAATTATTTGATAGTGACTGGATGCACAAACCTGAAATGTTGTTCATATGGCTGTAAGAACTCTCTATTGGCAGGCATCAAACATATGCTTTTTTTGTTTCTCACACAACGGTTTATATTTTATCACAGCGGGACTTTAACAAATGGAAATGTAATGAGAGCTGTGCACAGAGTGTACAGTGCTTTGTATACACTCTGTGTATACAAAATATACAAAATGACAATAAAAGTTGACAAAATCTAAGATAAATTATTGTGTTGACAGAGAAGACATTGGACAACATTTTTTTTAGCCAGGAGCTAAGAAGATATCACTCATAAACCTGAAACATCATGCCTTACTGTGTGTGCGTGCTGTGCAGTAAAAAAGAGAGTTGGCAATTAAAATAATTTATTTATGCAGTTGTATTCCACAGAAAGTCACCATTTTTCTTTTCACCGAACGAGTTCTGGGAAGCCACTTCATTCCAATTCAGCTCTTGACAACCCTCAGTCTGAAGGGATCATCTTAACAAATTTCAGTGACAGAATTCTTTTCTAGACTCTTGGCTCCTTTTCTAACTGCATGATAAGTTTTTTGGAAGATCCTGCGAAACAAAAACAAGGCAGCAGTCAAGTTAAAACCTGAACACAAGTTACGTTTCAAACCGACATAGATCAATAAAGAAGGAAATTATACCCATATTTTACATTACTAAGATAAATACTGCAACTTCTTTAAAAATGTCCCATGTAATTGCAGTGTACTTGTTGGTTTGGTGTCAATTGTTTTTTATTTACATTTTTCTGTAAAAACACAGAAATAACATAAGCAACTGATAGATTTGAAAGATTTGGCCTCAAAGTGATTGAAGTTGATGGGACAGAGAAACAAAATGCTTTTCCTTGAAGTGATTCTACAATAATATGTCGAGACCAAAATTTGTGACTGGAGTTTTTGAGTGATATTTAACTGGATAAAAAAGATGAGAAGGGCCCAAACATTGATTTATGGATAAAAAATGCACCAGCCTTGAGTTTACAGGTGAGTCATGTTTGCCAGGTGAATATAAAATGTATGGATAAGTGAGAGGTTTATACTATGTTATAAACCATAAAGTTGTATGATTGTCAGCATCTGGGGCTGCACGTGCATTTATGGATATGATAGTCAGCGGGAAAATGTGACCTGACTACCAACGGGCCGAGTAGGGAGTGATGTTTTACTTCCCATTATTTGGGCCCTCCAAATAGTCGCTGTCAGAAATAATTCAAATATATTCATTATATCAACTTAGACGATTAACTTTATGTACAGTCCACCAAACATACTAGGATTATGTGGGCCCCCTCTCTTGGAGGAGCAAAATGATTTGGTCAACTTGACTGTAACTGCTCACAAATGTAACGTGAGTGAGCCTAAACTCAGATTGAAAGACTTCAGAAGGCAGATATTATGCTGCCCAAAGAGCATAAATCTGTATAAAAAAAGGGGTAAATGTTAGAGCTCTTGTTCTGTTATGTTTTTCTTTTGGATGTCCAGTTTTGCTTTGCTCTTTGTTTTCTAGTTTTTTATGGTTTAATTCCTATTTTGTTGTGTTCTTTGGTTTTTTTCTCAGTTACTGTCTCAGTCGTGGTTCTGTTATGTTTTCTTTGGAGTATCCAGTTTTGTTTTGCTCTATGTTTTATAGTCTTAGTGGTTTAATTCTTATTTGTTTTCAGGTTATTTTCAGTTTCTAGGTTCCTATTTGTTGCCCTCTGCTACCCTCTTGTGTTCGCCTTTTTCCCTAGCTCCTTTTCTGCTCTGCTCTGTGCACACCTGGTCCCAATCTGCTCGTTAGTCCTCTCTTTGTTTCAGTCTCCTTTAAATACTCTCCCTGTTCCGTTCTTCAGTGCTGGGTCCTCGTCAAACATTCCAACTCCAATGATAGTGATTTGCCTGATGTCTCCATGGTTTCTGGTTCATTTTTGACTTGTTTTTCATGTTTTGATTTTTGGATTTTTGGACTCCTGGTTTCCTGTTAGTTTGGACTTTATTTTTCTTTTTGGGATTTTGGATTCCTGGTTGCCAGTTTGTTTGGACTTTGTTTTTCTTATTTGGATTTTTGGATTACCTGCCTTTGTATTCAGTCAACTCATCATTAAATCCACAAGAAACCTCTGCCTTCCTGCCTCTGCTTTTGGGTCAACAAACCACAACCGATCATGACAGAACGACCCAGCCAACATGGTCCCCACAGAGCAACCACAAGTAAAGGCAAGTAAATTCCTCATACTACTCAGAAAAACAATAGACTATCTATCCACTATCTCTTCACCTTGGGAGCAGGTGGGAACAGCTGAATGTATACTCATTCAACTTCAAAAATATCCAAACTCCATACATTCTTTCTTTAAGCAGGATACATTGCCCAAGTAAAATGGAACATTCAGGACACCTACGCAAAACTTTTCAATAAACCTTCACCACCCAAACCGTCACTCCGAGACATACCTGAGCTTCCATTAAACTCTGAACCTGTTCCTCCACCTTCACCAGCTGTTGGTCCCCCCCTGCCTTCTGCTTCCTCCTAACGTAGGAACCACCGCCGAGGAAAGAAGGCCACTACCTCTCCATTGGGTCAGCCTGACGCCTCCACCCCCTCTCCGTCAGGTCAGCCTAACGCCTCCACCTCCTCTCTGGCGAGTCAGCCTGACACCACCTCCACTCCTCCTGTGGGTCAGCCAGCTGCTAGCCTCAGTCCCCTTCATAACCAGGTCAGTTTCTCCTGCGGTAGTCACCTCCTTGACCAACAGCTAGCCCCATCCTTGAAAAGACTCAAACCAGGTCCTGAAACCACACCCACTGCAGTCAGAGCTCCCCATATTCAGAAGTCAGACCTATGGAACTTCTTTTATGGGGAAAGGGAGGATCTATTCCCTTTCCTTCCATCTCCATCAGCTCAGATCACGAGTCAGAGCCCTTTAGCGGGTCAGATCCTCTAGCTCCAGGGCCCTTTAGCTCTGGGGCGCCCACTGAAGGCTCTTGGAGGCTTGGAGTGCCTGCTAATGTACTCATGGGTCTCTGGACGGCACAGAGCAGGCTCAGGGGTCTCAGGGGCTAGGGAAACTGGTCCGCCCACCCTGGTTGTGTTTTGATTTATGGACATTTTTCAGGTGTCTGGAATCCACCCTTTAGTGCAAGGTCCTATTTGAGTTCTGGTTCGGTTATGTTTTTCTTTTGGATGTTCAGTTTTGGGACAGACAGACAGACAGGTGTAAAGCAGATGAGGATCTAAGAGCACGGGAGGGGGTGGGAACATGCAGGAGGTCTGATACATATGGGGGGGCAAGGTGGTGAAGTGCCTTGAATGTCACCATGATAATTTTATAGTGAATGCGGAACTGTACGGTGAGCCAGTGGAGCTTTCGGAGGACCGGAGTGATGTGGTGGATAGAGGGAGTTCTTGTTATAATGCGAGCAGCTGAGTTCTGGACCAGTTGTAGTAGTAAATGGTACTTCGCCCACTTTTTTTTTTTGATCTACCATAACAAACATAGGAATACATCTTCAAGTTTAAAAACCTGAGCAGTTGGCAGGAATCTGTGATTAGGTACAAGAAACACAGCCAAAGGTGTGAAAGCAGAAATAGACAACAGGATCAAGGGTTCAGGCTTGAATTATTTGTTGGTAAAGAGAAGCGAGGTTGAATACAAGGAAGCAGATTCACACAGACAGATTCAGTGGATTGGCAAGGGTCAGCAGGCAGAAAAAAGGTTGTCTAAAGCCAGGAGAGCATGTGACCTGGGCAAGGCATACCAGGGAAACCAACACTAGAAAGCCCAGAGATACAAGAATTTTCATCAGCCTTCAGTCCCCGAACAGTACTTCACAACTCATGAATCCCTTTTCAGATGTAAATGCCCCATTAGCGTTGACGTTGGAGAACCACTCCACCCCCTTTAATTTCGGTTTTAGCTCAAGCCTCTCTGTTGACGAGTGAGAGCAGGGGGTGAAAAAAATCTTATTTGTAATTAAATAATATCCAGTAGAACCAGGCTCAGTGTGAGCGGCCATCTACCGAGGCTGAAGAAGCAAGCATACAAAAGGGCAACTGTAAAAGGCGACCCCATCCAGGAAATGCACAGCCAGGCCGACAGGCTCCAAACCAGCTCCCATGTCAGAGGTTGAAAGAAAGCACATAGAGTAATTCACAGTAAGAGAAACAGGTTTACACCAATATACAGGCCAAACTATTCAGAGGCTGAACCAATAAATACTGCACAATGGTAGAATAGAGATAGAGTGAAGCAGAATGGTGAAAAGGGATCCCTATGTCCTCCAGCAGTCTAAACCTGCAGCAGCACAACTATAGAGATAGCTCTGGATAACCTGAGCCACTCTAACTATAAGCTTTATCAAAAAATACAATATTAGGGGTGTGAGATATTTCTAGATTTATTGAATATGTTACAATTAGTTCTTTATCTGCTTTGACACACATGCCCAGCTCAAAAAGCTGACACACACCGTAAGCCAAGTGGTCATATGCTATGAACAGGTAGAGAAGTTAATACTTAGAATTTTAACTGACCTGTTTATTTCCAATATAATTTCCACCTCAACTGAAAGCTATTAAATTACATAAGTTTTTTTTTTAACATTAGTGCTTATAAAAAGCAATTCTACAACTAACCAATTTCTGAGAAAAGGTTTGGAAATGACTCCGCAGTGCTGGGATACTTTATGTTCCTGTTTATTACAGGTTATATTCTGATCTGTACAGAGACAAATAAAGTCTATTAATCATTAAGTTTTATAGAAGCGCAAAGACTGAACTCTGGACTCGGGAGGGAAACACACCTTAGTTAGATCTAAACTGAACCAGCAGCTTCTCCTGAGTGGGTCCAGCAACAGTTCAGAAAACGGGAAACCTCCAACACTGCTGCTTCAAGCTTCCCAAGCTTCACACACTGAAGGTAAGTTGGACTTAGAATACCACTTAGAATCACTTTGAGAAAATAAATATGGGAGGGAAGGGAGCCATGACTAACAGGATCGTCTGTGTTTGTGGCTTCACTTAGGGACAAAATGGCTTCTAGTCCAGAGGCAGAACTTTTCTGTTCAATCTGTGATGAAATCTTCAAGGATCCGGTTGTTCTGTCATGTGGCCACAGCTTCTGTAAGGAGTGTCTAAAGAAATGGTGGAGAAAGAAACCAGTACAAGAGTGTCCATTTTGTAAAAGATCTTCAAAATCTGATCCACATTTAAATCTGAGCCTGAAGAACCTGTGTGAGATCTTCTTACAACAAAAAGATCAGAGATCTTCAGAGCCTGTGTGCAGTCTGCACTCTGAGAACCTCAAACAGCCAAAGTTTCTCATATGCAGCGATTCAGAGAAAAACAAAGAGCGCAAATTAAATGAGGCTGTTCAGGAACACAGGAAGACTCTTCAAGAAACCCTGGAACCTTTAAAGAATAATCTGCAGCGCAAAAAAACCATTAAAGAAGAGTTTGATAAGACAGCAGAACACATAAAGGTCCAGGCCAAAAAAACAGAGAATCAGATTAAGGAGCAGTTTAAGAAGCTTCATCAGTTTCTAGAAGACGAAGAGAAGAACAGGCTGGCTGCACTGAGACAGGAAGAGCAGCAGAAGAGTGGAAAAATGAAGATGAAGTTGAAGCCTCTGAGTAGAGAGATAGCAGCTCTTTCTGACATAGTCGGAGCCACAGAGGACGAGCTGAGGGCAGAAGATGTGTCTTTCCTTATTAACTACAACACTACAATGGAAAAAGTCAAGCGCTGGTGCCTGCAACAGGATCCACAGCTGCACCCAGAAGCTCTGATAGACCAGGCCAAACATCTGAGAAACCTTGGCTACACCATCTCAAGTAAAATGAAAGACAAGTGGTCCAATTCTCCTCTTGTACTTGACCCAAACACAGCGGGTTCAGAACTCATCCTGTCTGAAGATCTGACCAGTGTAACTTCAAGAGAGAATCAGCAGCTTCCTGATGATCCAGAGATGTTTAGATCAAAGTTTTCTGTCCTCAGTTCTGAAGGCTTTAACTCTGGTAACCACAGCTGGATTGTTGATGTGGAAGACAGTAAGGGTTGGATGATTGGTGTGTCAGCAGAGTCTGTCCAGAAGAGGGAAAATATATATTCAACATGGCTTGTCATCCAACTCCATGGAGGTAAATACTCAGCATGGTCTCCACCAGCTACTCCCACAGTTCTCCCAGTACAGAGTAACCTCAAATGGATCAGAGTGAATCTTGACTGGGATAAAGGAGAGCTGCAGTTTTTTGATCTAAACACTAAAACAAACATTCATACCTTCAAGCAAACCTTTACTGGCAACATGTTTCCATGCTTCACCACTCTGGGTGAAATAAAGATGTTACCTGCAGATTTTAATCCCCCCCTATCAAGAAGGATTACTTGTAAAAAAAGTAATTGGCGTCCTTATAAATATGTGGTCGTCCCTTCCTGATGATAATTGCTTGATCTAATGTCACTTTGAAATTATATTGATCAATTGTACAATTAATGTTCTTAATAATGTAACTGACATACAGAGTACAGCTTCACTTTGTTAGGCTTTGACCTAAATGGGAAAATACAAAAAAATATTTAGAACATTTTTATTTATTAACCTGATATATTCATGCTTTGATGATCTCTCTTTTTGGCGTTATGCTCCAAAAATTGTATATGAATTACATCAATCTGTTGCTGTAGATTATAATCCAGATTGATTTACTGGATCCTTATTAAGATGAGAAAACTTCATACACAGTTTTAAGGTTTTCTAACAGGGGAAACATTGCGCTAGTAACATACCATTACCAATATTGATATACCTGAATGGCGTATAGCTCGACTGAAGACCTACCTTTCACATCTGATGCCTTCTCTGGATAGTCAGTGTTAACAATTGGCCTATTAACAAGTAAGACTTTCATTTTTCTCTGGATGCTTTATCATAGAGCATCATCTTTCCAAATAATAGTAATAATTGAATTTTATTTATATCACATTGGAGTATAAAATGTATGTTCTTTTTCTATTTGAAATTTTTCATTATCTATTTTATTCTTTGTGCTTTAACACCAACTAATTAAAATCATGAATGAAAATATTCTTGTGAAATGGTCTAATTTACATACAGTAAGAGTGAAGCTTAAATTTACTGTCTCTCCCTCTTGCACCTTCTCTCTCCATTGAACGTAACATCATTGAACTTACAACCATATTTTTTCTGTTTGCTTTCACTCTTTATTGGTGAATACTCTTTGTTCAAGTTATGTCTGTTTTGCCCCGCTAAGCCTACTAGAAAGCCCATGGATTGGTTATAAGCTTCTTTTCTTTTTTAAGAAATAAAAACTTTCAAATCACAATTTTTTCTCTGACTTACTGTGCTGACAAAATCCACAAATTCAAGCTAGTGAGTATCTGACTGAAACATTTGAGTTATGGAGTTATGTTTACTGAGTGTCTGTGCTACTGGGATAACTTGAAACCATGTGATCTTTGCAGCTACTTCCTTGACAGAGATATTTTCTTCTATCCAACTTTATTGCAATCTTTTAAGGAAAACCTGATTATATTGTACACCTTCCTGGAGCTGAGACCTGAAGGCAACTGACAAAATCATCAAAGTTCAGCTTATACTGTGAGAACTGTTTTTATTTTTTATTCTGGTTCTGCTTGCTCGCTCAGGTGTTCCTCCATTCTATAATAAAGAGGTAAAAGTTGTTCAATTTCTTAGGCATCCATTATTTGACTGAAGAATCCTGGATCTACAGTAACATTGTTGAGTCAATGTGTTAGTGACCCGAGTTGACAAGACAAAGAAACAAAATTCTTTTTAAATTTATGATTGTACTATCAGAATTCGTCCTGAGACTGGCTGCTGTGTTGGACTTCCTGAGTGACATGCAGAAGGAAGAAGATAAAAATGCACCAACCCTGAGTTTACAGCTTGATAAGGATTACCAGGTCAATATAAATTTTATGGATGCGTGAGAGGTCTATCCCATGTTATAAACCATAAAGCTCTGATAGTCAGCATCTGAGGCGGTGTGTGTATTCATGGATGTAATATTCAGTGGTTAGACTGAACCTGACCACCCAGGGCCCGAGTAGGGAGTGAAGTTTTATTTCCCATTTTTTGGGCACCCCAAATAGTTGTTTTCATAAATAATTCAAATATATAGATAATATCAACTGAGAGAATTAACCGTACGTACAGTCCACCAAACATATTAGTATTCTGTGGACCCCCTCTTGGAGGGGCAAAATGGTTTAGTCCACCTGACAGCAACTGACGACCAATGTAACATGATTGAGCCTAAACTCAGATTTAAAGACTTTTTTTTAATACCCTGATTTAAAAATCTTAAATCAGGGTATCAAAAATAGAGGTAAACAAAAATATAGAAGTCAGATTATGAGGAAGCAGCTGTGGACTTCTTTATCAAAGGTGAACCCAGTTTGCTTGTGATGTAAATCAGTCTGGTTAAGGTTAAGGAAGTACACAAAAACAGCTGCTGCTGATGTTTGTGTGCTCATGTCTTTAGCTTGGCTGGCTTTCAACCAAGCTGTCAGGGTTTGGTTGTGGTTTTGGACCCAAATGCAGAGGCTGAGAGGCAGGGGCGAGTTCTTGTCGGTTCTTTAATTAATTAACACAGGAAGGAATCCAAAAAATCAAACTTAAAAATGTAAAACAAACCAGAACCATGGAGACATCAGGGAAAAACGATCACAAGGAGCCAGGGAAAGACCAGGAAGGACGGGGTGTGACGAGGAATCAGCACTGAGGAACTGCACGAGGATTGTACTTATAGGAGACTCAACAAAGAGAGTACTAACGAGCAGATTGGGAGCAGGTGTGAACAGAGCAGTCTGGGAAGGAGCAAGGGAAAAGACCAACACAAGAGGGCAACAGAGGGCAACAAACCAAAACCTAAGAACTGAAATACAACCAGAAAACACAAAAAAATAAGAAATAAAACAAGAAAACTAGAAAACATGGTGCAAAGTAAAACATAACAGAACCAAGACCGTGACGCAAGCTTCTTGTTGGTATAAAGACAGTTATGGGCCAGTTAACCCATAGCTAATTGTCAAAAGTTTCAGAAACAAATAGAAGCAGCTGGAGCAGCAGTTTGCTGGCACTTCTGAAGAAGAAGAAGCTGAGGTTAGAAATGAGCAAAGAGGTTGTTCAAGTATTCAAGTGTGAGCTGTGTAAATATTTATTAGATATCCTTGATTTGAAATGCGATGATTCAAATACAAGCAATAACCTGATTTATTGATTACTTATATTCCTTACTGTCACCCATGACCCGACCACAACTGAACCCCTTAGTAAGGAGTATTAAATAGAGAAAGTCTGATTTCTATATCCACTAATGTCTCATATCCCCTATTTTAAAAATGTCCACAGCTGTATATTGAATATTTATTCTTTGGGTGACTATACAGTATTTATATTTGTAAAAACATTGTACAGTACAATATTTTTTTTTTGTTTATTTTACCCACATGCAGAACACATTCAAAAGGCAGATCTTAATAAATTGACTTTTATTTTTAGTTTTACAGAAGTCAGTTATTATCTTACAGCTTTTATAGAAAGGTGGATCTTTCACATTCATTTGAAAAATACTTTTGGTCATGATTTACTTTTTGTTGTGACATGAAGTGTACTCTCAACTCCCTCATTCTTGATGGATTGGGCAGCCCCTATTTTTTTGTATCTATTTCTTTGTCATTAGTTGAAAAATATCCTTTGCAAAATAATTTTACACAAATATCAACATTCCATCGAAAAAAATACAATCGCTCTTTAAATAAAATGGTGCTTCTTTGAAAATTGAAAAAAACCTTTCTTGCATAAATATTTAATAGGATGCTGTCTTTTATTTTGCCTGACCGGGGGGAAAAATGTCTCTTTGGGTTGTAAAGGTTAAGGAGCATTGCATTTAACTAGCATTAAGTACAATGAGTTATATTTTTAGTCAGTTATTTAAACAATAAAAATGCTTCCTTCCATTAGATATAGAAAAATCTAGCATTTTTTTTATTCAATTTGATTAAACAGCAAACAAAACCCCATCACCCAAATATTTTCTTGCATTATAATGCACCACAAGCCATAAGAAAAGTTTTTGTTGCAGACAGATAATCAGTTTAGATAACCAGGCTGTTTGCGGTGGGCAAAAGCAGAACATTCCCCCTATTTCTAAACTCTCTCTGACATCCGTGACCTGGAAAGATAATAAAAACACCGAAGTCAATGTGGCAACAGCACAGACTGTCTGAGTCATTCATTGCCTCACAATCTGGCAAAGATTGTTTTAAAAATACAGTCGGATGATAACATCTTTTATGAGCCGTGTCTGGAGATGCTGTGAGAATGAACAGGTCTACAGGTGTGGAACAATAAATGTCATTCAAAGTTCTTAACTTTTAAGATGAGCTATCATAGATAAAATATGACAGATCAAAGGGAAAGGTAAAGAGAGAGAAATGTGAGACAAGAAAAGGCAGGAAAATCTATTTTTGAATAAAAGCAGGGGTTTGTTTTGTGTCTGCTCAGTTTGCTGTCTCAAATCCTCTTGCATCGTCTTCTGACAGCAAAAAAAAACTTGAAGGAGAGAAGCAATGGTGCTGCTATCAGAGGCCAGGTAACCATCCACTGATTGAGCTCACACACAAACAACTCTCTTTCTTTGGGAAAATAAGAGCCTTTCAACAAACACTTGAGTTTTCTCTCAGGTTGTACTTCATAGTTCATGAGAGATGTTTAAGCAAAGAAGTGTGGCTCACTAATGGTGCCATTTCATGCAGAAAACAAAGGCAGTGCCAGAGCTCTGTGTGGCTGCAGCTTGTTAAGGCATCAATTACTGTCAGAACATTTCAGCAGTAGGTGAGAGGAAGTGTCTGACTGCTGTCGGGATCGTGCCGTGCGCTCGGACTGCCTTTCATGTGATGATAGCTGGAGAGAATTTGGAGGGGAAGAAATCAAGCAGAGAAAATTTGAGCAACAGAGAAAACGGAGGAGGAAGAGCCAGTTAATTGAGTTGATTGGATTTACGTGTTTCCCAGATAAAGTTGCTTGACGGCGGGACTGGGAAGACAAAAACAATGACTAAAAAGTGCCTCAATGGACATTATGAGTGAAAAACGTCGAACCATACAGCTGAATCTGATCATGTATGCTTTTCTTTCCATTTATTGCTTGTTGTTTCTCCACACTGGGATGAACTGGCCATAAATTTTATGAAACCTGGCAGTTGTTCTTAAACTCTCCTTTATGTCCCCTTCAGGCTGGGACTCATGCGTCATCATCCATCACAACAAATCTATTTTTATCAAGCATTAAGGGATGGGAAGAACTAGCAGCAAACCGGATCATCTCGTTCACAGAGCTAAGCAGTTATTGGTTATTTTAACATGAATAAAGGGATTTGTAGAGGGGAACCA